TTTGATTCCTTAGAGAATACAGGAACAATAGTCATAATTAAAGAACAAAAGCAATGTGAAAAGGATTATGGTCTAGAGACAGGGGTAAAACGTCATCTGGCTTCAGGCTTATTATATTGTCATTTACTACTACTACCAGAATCCTTTGCACACTTTCCTTTGTTGTTCAATTAGCACCAATAGGCCCTTTGCAGCTAAGCAATCATGTGCTGATTAATTCACTGAGAGCAAATGAATGAACATTTTGATTCCCATGGGTGAAATTTACTTGATTGCAAACAAACTTTCTACAACCGGTTTCGAGAGATCGTAATAAAAGTGCATTTCGTAACACACTGGATACACATGTTTTCATTCAGTTCTTTACAAGTAGCTAAAGAGAATCACCAGTTTAATATAAAAACAAAAATTTTGCAGTCCAGTACAGAGACGTGGCCGTTAACTGCAAAGGGCCTATTGCCTTAGTATTCTCAGGAGGAAATACAAATTTGAATCAGAAAGAAAATTTTTGAAGCATTTTAGAAGTGATAGTAAAATGACGCCATCATATGCAAACACCCTATTATTCAAACAGATTGATTCAGGTTTCTAAACAGATCTTTTGCTTTTTCAACAGCTTGATGACAAGTATTGGTATGTGTCATCATTAGATTGTGATGATACTACATTGCATCAAGCTATTGCCAGCAGATGTATGACAGACAAGTAAGTTAAACTATTATCTATGTCATAGAATATAGAAATGCATCCATTCAAAAATAGTTTTTCTATTGTATTCATTAAGAACAGATGCCAAAAAAAATGGAGCATCAATTTAGTTATATTTCATTACGTAGACCTTTAGGCAAAGTAGACCACAGCACACATGGTTTGATGAAATAGTGGTTTTTAAGAGACAATTAAAAACAAATTTGTTCATAATAGACCTCTCTACCTTATTTGGCTTAATCTCTTCGCATTTCAGACCATGTATTTTTATTGAAAATACATTTTTTTGTTTGAGTTGTATTTATATTCTGTGTCTTCTCATGTGCACCCATTAAACAAAGAAATGATACTTTAGGGAATGCCTGGTAAACTAAAATCATTATCTTTGACTTTTTCAACAGGTTATCAGCATCTTCAGCCAAACATCATGTTGTCATAGTGATGTTTTTGTCAAGGCCTGGACAGCCTGCACACACAACAAACAAGTAAGTTTACCCATACACTGCAGCACCTCCCTTACAATAAACAATAGTTTCCAAGCAAAGTATTGCGTTGAACAAATGATTCAAACTTTTATCAAAGAAAACTGACAAAAGCAATAATAGCCACCAAATACCATAGAGTGCAAACAATTAAGAGCGACTGTCTGTAAAAATCGACCAAAATCGACTTTTCGTGGCACAAGTCAAAAAATCGATTTCGCTCATATTTTATCCAAAGGTAGGCTATAGTGTGAAATGAAACGTGCTGTAGTTAGTTTTTTAAAATATTGCTTTGTTTGGCGAGAATTTGAGAAAAACGATTTTGACCGGAAACGGCACTGAAATCGCCTTTCGCAAAGGTCAAAACTATCAGACTCTAATGAGCCTCGCGCTGGAAAACTACGGCTCTGAACCTAGTTGAAACACTAAATTTTCTTTTTTAGTATATCTCTTCTTAGTTTGGCATTGAAATACTTCCATAATTTTATTTATTTTCGTCTGGAGAAAATTACAAATTTAAGCTATAATCGCCAAATTGCTTGTAAATAAATCATAGGGTCTGAAA